AGAATATTAATTGTAGGGAATACTGGGATTTTATAAGGGCATAACGGCGTCGTATATGGGCATTTCGGAAACGATAGTACATTTCGTTATTTACGAAGCTGTAAAAGCCAGATTGGTCGAATATCGCCTGAACAACCCTCAAAAATATAAAGAGACAAAAAGTTGGAGAGACTTTGTAGAGTTTATGATAGCCGGTGGTATGTCGAAAACGATAGCATCTTGTATTGCGTATCCGCACGAAGTGGCGCGAACTAGACTTCGGGAAGAGGGTAACCGATATACCGGCTTTTGGCAGACGTTGGGGTTGGTAGCTAAAGAGGAAGGAATTCGGGGAGTCTATAGAGGCTTAGGAATTCAACTTCTTCGTCAAATACCGAACACGGCCATTATGATGGCCACATACGAAGCAGTCGTTTATATTTTATCTATTAAATTTAACAGCGAATATTACGATAAACATACATAAGAATATGGCCATTCAATGTTTTCTTTTTTTGTTGTTGTAAAGCTCGTGCTTCAACCAAAGAACGACTTTTATACTGAATGATACGACGAAAGGTGTCAGAAAGAAAGTAGCAGGCTATGCGAAAGGGGATTTATATAGATAAATAAATAAGACTGTAACGTCTGAGTATAACTTAAAAAAAAAAGATAATCCTTACGTGTATTTCCTATTTCGAATTGTTATTAGAGTTATATTATGGGATATATTTAAATGTTGCTTTCTTTTTTATTTTGATATTGTCAAACTTGTTTCGTAATTGTAAACAAATTGCAGTGTAACACTTGATAACAACTGAATATGAATATTGTTAAATTCAACTGTTCATTGTGCTGTTATGATCACGGAGTAAATTAAGTAATTGTTTCATTTGTTTCACAGTTATAAATAAAATGCAGTACGAACTGCATAAGATTATATTTTCGGTTCAGCTACTTTTTGACGTACATAACTTTTAAATAGAAAGAAAAATATGGCAAGTTACTTACGCTTAAATAATAAATATTTTAGCACCACAATATCAATTTTTCCCGCTTTAGTATTTGTCA